TGTAGCCCATTCCAGCCTTGTGTAGGTCTACAATCTTGTCCCTGACATCCTTGAAGAGCTCTTTGGTCTTGGCCATGGTGGAGAGTTTGGAATCTGATTGATTGCTTCTGTGGACAGGTGCCTTTTATACAGGTAACAAGCTGAGATTAGGAGCACTCCCTTTAAGAGTGTGCTCCTAATCTCAGCTCGTTACCTGTATAATAGACACCTGGGAGCCAGAAATCTTTCTGATTGAGAGGGGGTCAAATACTTATTTCCCTCATTAAAATGCAAATCAATTTATAACATTTTTCACATGCGTTTTTCTGGATTTTGTTGTTGTTATTCTGTCTCTCACTGTTCAAATAAAGCTACCATTAAAATTATAGACTGATCATTTCTGTGTCAGTGGGCAAACGTACAAAATCAGCAGGGGATCAAATACTTTTTTCCCTCACTGTAGGCAGAACCCATTTTTGTTCCGTTGCTACCTTCCTGTTTGAGCGATGCTTGCAGTGTACTCAAACATCCACAGGTGCATAAGCCCCCCGAAACTGGTGAAGAGCACTGACCATTCCGGGATTTGTTCGTATAGCTCTTAAACGAACAGACCCCCAACACCACTGGTAAAAATTAAAAAGGTGCAGCCCTGCAATTGCTTCCGCGCGCCACTGCTGGCGGAAGTGCCTCCACTCGAGGGAGCTTCAGAGAACTCCGTCCCGAGAGCTATTGCTGGACTATTCTCTTCCACGCTGACCAGCGATCTCGTAAGAGGTCGGAGCAAAGGGCACTTTCCTCCACCACACATGATCTGTCAGTTCACTAACTGTGGTGTGCCTGCACTGATTTATACTGCTGGATGGGGGCAGGGGAATTGAAGAAACTTGCACCATTGTTTCAACCGGCGACTTCTGTGTTGCAAGTCTGGCCTGCTGATCCATTACAGCACAGCAGGCTCCCGTGACAGCTCTGGTCCACCTTACAATCTCACAACACGGCCGATGATCGTGGACCTGAAGGGGATGATTGAAGGGGGGCTAACGTAGAGGGTTGTAAATTGCGAGATGACTTGCGAAGGCGAGTTCCAAGTCGGTGCCAGCGTTCGGGGTTACCGCGCGTGAAGAGTTCTCGCCAGGGCTTCTAGGGGGCAGTGATGGCAACACGGGGGGGGGGGGGCGGGGAGGTGCAACCTTTTGAGGGGGCACTTTGAAATTAATTCTGCTATTAATACATTATACATGTCACCTGCAAATGAACAGCTGACCCCCCAAAGGCCTCTTGATTCATCTCATATTCACTGTCATATAAATTATCTGTTCATCCATTACAAATGGCGGCCGGACCATTCACTAGCGTGGCAATGCACGAATACATGCACATTGGTATTCACAGCCCCTCAACAACGTACATGTTGTCCAGTTACCGACACTTCATACATTATTGTGGATGAGCGTTGATATATAGCGTGTTAGCGCACTGCATTAGTAATTAGGTGACCTCAGTTCGATGCCTGGCCACAGCTAACATCAGTGTGCGAGTCACATCTTAACTGTTCCCAGACCATCCCCAATTAACTCGAATCATCCCCCTGTGCATGGCCAACGTAGTACATGGCCATGCCTCCTTGGTGGCCACGTATTGGTCAATCGCACCCCAGCGTTTAATGCTGGGTTGCGAGATGTTAACTATGGTGGCCAGATGTTAACTGCCTTGCCTGGTATACATGCGGCTGTGGGTTTGATCCCGACCCTGACGCCTGTATATTTGGAGTTTGCATGTCTCTCTCCCCCGTGGTCACGTGGATTCTTCTCTGGGTCCTCCGGGTTTTCCCTCCACATTTAGAAATATAAGTTTGGAGTATTTGGCTGCTCTACATTTCCACGTGATAATCCACTTTGTTGGTGGCCAGCTCGCTTCTGAAAAAAAATGCTATATAGCTCAGTGGGCCTAACCTGGTAAACAAAAAAAACTGCCACTGAGGATAGGTCATTGAGTTTTGTAAGCTGTGATTGGCCATGAGTAATGAATAGCTTGACTAAAACATTTTGGGAACCGGGAGATTCGTCCTTCCTTGTTTGTTTTGTACGAAAAATTGCATTGTCCTGATAAAAAAAAATGCAGCTTTTTCTGCTCCTTTTTTAATTTATGTAATGGAAATGACAATATTACAGCAACAATGCAATCCGTCTGCACAGAATGTACCGTTCGCGTGCTCTTTAAATTCAGAGGTTGGGCACAGTAATCCGTCTACATTATCCTCAATTGCATCTTTACTTCTTTGGAATTTTTTAGCGACCATTGAAAAAACCAGAGTATGAATCCTTGTAGTCATGAAAGCTTCAAATCTATAATAAATAGACAAGTTAGTATGTTGTTTATGGACTTTGATTCGGAGCTACAATAAAATGCCTGTGATATATACAATGGTCATTAACCCCACAATATATCGTGTGAGATACAAAACTAGTTTGCAAAGCAATTAAGTGCTCCTCTAAATGTCCACCTTGCTGTACTACGTTAATTATAAACGCTCAGAATTAATTGACATGATAAACATTTAGTTATTTTCTTTACATTGTTTAATATATAGGTACACTTTTTTACACGCAATCGTCAAATCATCACCATTCCTACAAAACCTACAGCAAAGGACCCACAACCTAATTGACTTTACAGGAAACAAAGTCAAGTATGGCTCATAAATTAGAATATTTTAGCCAAGTTAGTAATATTTGGTGGAAACCGTTTATTCAATATGGTTAATGCTGATATGTTAAAAACGTCCTTGTTTTGTATTGCAACCGTGATCATCACTTTGCTTTTCTAAGACTTTTGACTCGGATGATGAGCCATGTCTGTACATTCTGGAGATTTGGGAAACCTGTCTAACAACGTGAAGTCCAATTTTTATTGTTTTTGTAAGACAATTACCATTGTCTGTGCCAAGGTCAAGACAAACTGTGACTTTTGGTGGTACACACAGGGGCAGGTGGTGCAGTAGAAGAATAATCAAATAAAAAAATGACTTCACTTCACCACCACACACTTAATTTTGTGAAACATAACCTACCAACCATAATACAGTTTTTTTTGGATTACATCGCGTAAATATATAAATGTGTCGTTAAATCCGCCACCACCCGACACAGCCAATTAATATGGGTTGTCACGTAAACAGAACGTGCCAATTCGTTACTAGTACTGAAATCTGGCTGTCGCCTGATGAAGATAGTTTGATTTCCTGGCGAAATGTCATACTCCGATTGTAAATGTTCTGGCTTGGCTCTCCAACACACCCGATCTAACCCCCCAAAAAACTGTATTATGGATGCTATTGGTCGCGAAAGCCTACGTGTTAAACTGAATAACCTGCCAAGTTAGTTTTCTCATGAAGACTTACTCAATCCAACACCTAACCTTGTATGTGTGGTTTGTTCCACACATTGGCTGCTCTGGGCAAAACAAAAACCCTGCTGTCTATAAACAATAACATGGAGATGTCAACAAATATTTTATTTTCAAACAAATCGTGAGCATGCATCACATTTGAGGTGTTCTGCTTCACAGCATACTCTCTTTCCTTATTCTGTAGACCAAACGCTAAATATCCACGGCGCTAACCTGACGTGCAATTAGCACTAACAGGCATCTGCCAGCTTCACCGCTGCTGTGAAGTGATTGTAATATATGCAGTGCACCTTCATTAACCTTATTCGTGCCTCACTGTCCCAGACAAATGGCATGTCCATGATAGTCTGGGTCCAGTATGGGAATACTGACAAACTTGTGCAACTTCACCGCAAGAAGAGATGCACCTGATGAAGGCCACTTGTGTTGTGCCGAAACGTCGTGATTTTTGGTGTTTTATTTTTTACCTACGTGCAACTTCACTGCAAGAAGAGATGCACCTGATGAAGGCCACTTGTGTTGTGCCGAAACGTCGTGATTTTTGTTGTTTTATTTTTTACCTACGTGACTTTACCGAATAGAACCAAAGAGTATATATCTGTGTTGCTATGCAAGTACAGTTCCCCATGTGTTATATGTTCAACTTCCACCACAACTGCAATTTGCCAACCGTGTTAATCGCAGGAGCCTGGGAGGGAGGACAGCAAAACAAGCACACAAGGCGGTTCTAAAGAAATTCGTTTTCCATTCGGATGAGAACGGTGACTAATAATGATAACTGTTGACTATTTTTGTTCTGTGAAAACGATGTTATGGTTTACAACATCTTAACTTGCTGTCTGATGGTTGACAATATTAGTTTATTGAAGTGCGAGTTCAAATACCGTTAACGAGTACCACCATGTGAACAGCGCTGAGTGGTTTTCTCATGGATTGACTGGCCCTCGTCAAGGGAACATGGAATTGTCACTGGTGGTTGAGTACCCTCCATTGAATATTAGCATTTGGCGACTCCACTGATTGTGTATAGCACTGCGATTACTTATTCAAGCCGATACTGGTGAATTTGTGCCATCCACAAGAGAGGGCTCTCGAGGGACTCTCTAGAGGGCATTTGGCCTTGGAAGAGGTGGGAATACCAACACTTTACCCTACCACACGTGACTTGCCGATCGATTTGATTGCGGTGGTGTACCCATTTATACTGCTGAGTGGACAGAGGCGATTTGGCAGGGGAAGGATGGTGGTGGTGGGGGGAGGGCTTAGGGGTGGGTGGGGGTGGTAATTTAAGAAATGTGCCCATTGTTCCAACTGCTGAGACAAGAGATTAAATCTGTGACCTCTGGATTGCAAGTCTGGTGTGATAACTGTTATACCATGGCAGCATCCCTGAAGGCGCACTGACTTGTGATACATTATTTACTGAACCAACTCTCATGACATTACACTCAAAGATAACTTTACCGTAATTGCTTTTATAATTATTATTGTTATTACCTCGGTCACATGATTCTCACATTCATTTAACTTGTTTATTTTTTGCTTACAATGGAACCATACATTTTCTTCATACTTTAAACGTCTCCATTCACCCACCTTCCACACCCCCACAGGAAGCTGTTAATGATGAGTTTGCGAGACGGGAGCTCCAGAAGGAGTGGCGGAGGTTCAAGGTAATTACTGTGTTGCTTGCACTTTCACCCGATTACCTCCCTCTCCTTATAAACACTGACCCAATTAGCCTCCCATCGTAGGTGTGCAACAATTGCAATCATGGCAAAACGTCAAAGATCCGTGAACAATGAAGCCATATAAACAAGTCAGTCTGTATTGGTGATGCAGTGAAATGCCGTTCGGGTGGTGATGCTTCACCACAGCAAGGAAGTTGGGTTGCTACAACCAAGGAACAAGAAAAATCGGCTCACGCCATGGGGGAGAGGTATAATCTCTTAAAACCGGAATGGAGACCTGCGCGCAAATGTATTGTCCGGAGTGGTGAATCATTACGCAATTGACGAAAGCCAGGGACTTTTAATGTACCCGGGGAAGACTTACAGAGCTCACGATTTAAAACGGGGACATTCTGAGAGAACCAGGACAGTTGGCAACCCTACTAGGCACCCACAAATGTCCTCCACTCATTTATGGGTTCTTAAGTCACCGTAATCTAATGCAGCCATGCTGTATAAGGTGACATTTGGAAGAAAAGAAAAACTGTGAAAATATGACAAAGACGGTGAGGGTTGCGGCGTATTTAAGAAACTTGCCCCATTGCTTCAACTGCGGCACCGGGAGATTGCAACGGCGACCTCAGGATTTGCAAAGTAAAAAAATGTGCCACCCATTACACCGTAGCGGCATCCATCAGGAAGTTATCGCTGGCCAAAATATGTAATAATTGTATACGCGGGTGCCAAGTGGGTTTGTCGAGAATGTTTCATTGCAGCAGCTTGACAACGGCGGGATGTAGCGTGTCAGCGTGACCAAAGAGGCCAGGTCCGTCTCTGTGCCAAGAACTCTTTACTCACATTGTAGTTCGCAAAAAAACATAATTTACAACCCTCGCCAACCCCACCTCCCACCGCACTTTAAAGTGGTTGCTTGAAAACGCGTTGTTCTCCAGTGTGGTAAACGGTACAATTATTGATTTTTGACGTCACGGTTTTTATAGCCAATGCAATGAGCCACAGTTGTTTATTTGGTTGAGGAAATTTGGTAGTTTCATGCAAAAAAAAATATCACAATTGTGTAATAGGCAACTATGTATATTATATGATATAGGTGATGGGCCTCGAGCACGCGCTAATTCAATTTGTCCTGTGGAATGATGCCGGTCTTGAAAAAAGCTTATCCCTTAGCCACTTGACATTCACAGCTTTATTATTTGATATTGTGGCTAACATTTTGTTCGTATGTTTAACAGGACATTGGATTTTTTTACGCTATTTAAATATCTCCTTTAATTTGAATAAACCTACGGGGTTTTTTTTTACGATATCCATACAAATTCATAATAGGCTATCACACGGAAAACTGTTTAACTAAGTAGTGTTTCTACATTTCCAAATGCAAGTTGGACCAATTAGAATATGTGGAAAATGTAAATATATATTTATTTAGTCATTACTGGCACAGATAATTGGGAAGATTGTTTTCTATGCAAAATAACAGCATTTGCATGCAAGGCAGCTCTATCGACGACACAATCATATATTTTTTTATTTGACAAAACGATGGCCTGTCAGCTTCCCGTAACTGACACCACATGTTAATGGGATTTTCCATTTTTTCAGCACAAGATGTTGGTTATTAATACAAACGCCTAAAATTACGACGTCACCTCCGACAAATGTGCACAAACCCCGTGCACATGAATCTACGGCTCGCCTTTTCCTGTTCGTCACACACACACGTTCTTGTTGGTATTTTCGCAGTGTTAAATTGTGCAGGACATCGTCATCGCTCTTGGTATTCGCCCTGGCCATGGCAAGTGGAGCCAGGCTTGGCCACGACCCGGTGCAGCTAGCGAGCCACCCGAAGGCACACAGTGGCAACCTCCCAGCGATTTGAGGCAGGGAGTAAAAAAAACGCAAAAGCTTTCACCTCGCCATAATCTATAACCTCCATGGCCTCTTGTTCCCTCGCCTCATGCTGTCTCCCCCCCACCACTGCACCCAGTTACCGCACAACCCTAACCGGAAACTGACCTGCTGATGACGAAGGTGACAGGGAAATGACACGACTTATTTTTGCACGTCATTTGCTGACTGGGTAAGGAGTCCCTGGAGTCTGATGGCACAATGTAACTTGAGAGGCACCATGGTGACATGTTAACTTCCTCGCCTGGTATGCAGGAGGTCGTGGGATCGATACCAGTCATTATGCCTGTATATATTGAGTTTGCATGCCTCTCTCCCCATGGTCGTGTGGATTTTTCTCCGGGTCCTTCGGGTTTTCCCTCCAAATTTAGAAACATGCACTTAGAATATTCGGCTGTTATAAATTTCCACATGATAAGCCACTTCGTTGAGCTATCATTTGTGGCCAGGTCGATTCTGAGAAAGAGCTACGTATACAGCTCAGTGGACCTTACCTGGTAAAATATAGTTGATCGTAGTTTAGTTTATAGTTTACAATGACGTTTGTCGCTGACGTGGGTTCCCCAGTGAACCCTGCTCCTTCTACGATTTGTGATGATAGCTGATGATGAAAATGAAAAAATAAAATACATAAACTAAGTCATATTTCTATACAAGAAAAAGATAAAGATTTCCAGTATAGCATTTACAGACTCTAAAGGCAAGTGCTGTTGGCGAGCACCTATGAAGGCCGACATGGTACATGAGGTGGTGGGTGGCCAGCACCACGCGCAACGGCCTTTGTCTCCCCAGTGGCGATTTTTATACACCACACCAGGTACTAATTTGAGGCTGAGTCGACCTAGGGGATGCCCAGGACCGGTTCGTCACTGGTATTGGCCGTGAGCGGGAATCGAACTTGGGTGGGCCCGGGTTCGTAATGCAACGTGCTCACCGCTACACCACCACTCCCCTTGTATTTCTATTCGATACCTTACAAAAATCCTCTTCATAGGATTTGGAAGGATTTGTGCGCATGTTTGAATTGAACCCTGCTGATTTACTTTTGTTTAAACATTTTGTACTGAATGGGTAAAGCGTGTAAATACTGTATAGCCTTTTGGTGTCCACGCACACAGAATATAGGCCTGTCTCAGAAACAATTTGCCTGTCTGTTAGCCCATTCATTTATTCGACTGTCATTGCATCCCTCTCATTATAAGACATGTAAATGATGCTGAGTGTGTAAACTACACTACAGTAATAATTTATTTACGTCATTTTGCTAATAAAAAGGTTGCCAATTAAGGTATTTATCTTTTCTTTTAATCATCTGTCCAATGATGTTACAATTGTGTTATTGTTGCAGATAAAAGTGTGTAACTCTGTGCCGGAGAACGGACTCACAAAATGTCGTAAAACATACTTTCTTAGGTCACTTTAATAGGGCTATTCATCCACGCTACGGGCAACCCTTTTAACGCCGTGTAATTAACGTTCGCCACATGACGTTCAAACTGTCAGAGCTGGAATAAGCCAAATTAAGTGAAAAACTAAGTTAAATATGACAGATATTTATGTGCAGTCACTGGGACCCACATCTCGCTACTCTTGGTGGCTGCCCGGATTTTAACCCAGGATTTTTTTTGCGGTACCGATCAGCGCTCTGGTTATTCATATTGTGGATTCACTTCTGTAAACAATTTTATTTGTTAATTTCGTCACGCAAAAAAATCCACATTTTCAAAGCTGGCATGAGATATTTCACGTCCTCAAGCAAAGCAGCTGGAGCGAAAGGCGTTACTATGAAGTGTTTGTATATGTTGTGGAAGAAATATATTCCCAAATGCACATGATCACAATGGGTACATTGCACTGTTTCAACCTGCACATATAATGACTTGATGAAATTCTCGGAACAAAGAGTAGCAAAATAATGCGTATTTCACCTGTATCTACTCTAACACACTCACATTTATGAACAGGTAAATTTCCTATAAAAACAATTAGGTAAAAAGTATGCTACTATTGGGTTACTATTCTGTATGAAATCTATAAGAAATATTTGGAAAGCAGATTTCTGACAGTCGTAATATTTTTAAAGGCACAAGAGATAGTGCAATTAGTCCACAGAATACACAAATCAACCTTATATTGGGCAGATATGACTGGAATTTCTGTAGTGCCGTTAATTCACTCGGACGACAACCGTCTCTTTTTCCGCCGTCACTTTTATTCCATCGTTCCGTACACACAGTAATTCTCTCCGTGCTCCGCCAACTCGGACACTCCGATTTACTTCAGCATCGTCCGTGCGTCCCCTTCCACACAGTGTTTCTTCGCATATCTCTTCACACACAGTGTCTTCCCTTCCACACACAGTGGTTCGTCTTCTATCTCTTCCACACACAGTGTCGCCGCTATCTCTTCACACGCAGTGACTTCCAACAACTGCCCAGCAACAACTCTCCAGCAACAACTCCCCAGCAGCAATTCTCCAACAGCAACAACTCCCCAGCAGCAACTTTTCAACAGCAACTCCTCTCCGTTCAAACCACCTCGCGTTTTATCCCCTCTCGCATTAGCCTTAATTAATTGCCACGTGGCTCGCTGGCCGTTTCCCACCAGCCCGCACCTGTCCCCTTCCTCAGACATCCAGACGCCACCACTTAACGCTAACAGCCTCTCGACCAATCACAGCCCTCGTGCCACGACTCCCTTAATTACTTGGGTTTGTTTACGCCACTCGCGACTCGACCACCTGTTCGACCTCGTGTGACCCGTTCTCCTTGTCTGTCTGTATGTACTGTATATGGACAATTCCTATGCGCATTATCTACTCCACTACATTAGCCCCCCCCCCCCCCCCCCCCCCGTGATGAAATAACCTAGCCGTCCCCGGCTGCGATATACTCGAATTGGAGTAGTGGAGTGAAGCGGATGGAACGATGACAACATTTATACATAACGCACTTGCAATATACAACCATTTTGTACAATCACGCAACGATGCGCACACAACACCTTTATACAGAATTCCCAACTCCCAAAGTCAATGTATTGTATTCCTCCTGGAACGGGTTCCTGCTGCCGGTCCATCTCCCCTGCACGGGAATCTCTTCGGTAAGGGAGGCCCTTGCTCGTCTTGCCAATGAACCCTGCGCCCATCCCTGTCCCCGCGACACTCAGCTGGCAGGGCTGTCCGTCGTTCACGGTCGGGATGGCCATTGGTCCGGATCTGTGGCCGTTCAATCGGCGTCCGGTCGGTAACCCTGCCCAAAAAGGGCGATCCTGCAGGCACACGGGGGGCAGATCTCTGGGACACGTGCACTTGTGACCTCCCCACAGGTTCGTCGGATACATCCAATACAGGCCGCTCTCGGATGGGGGATGACGCATCATATAGTAACACAAATTTCTTCAGGCGCGATGGGTGAACAAACCATGTCCGACGACCGAATTTTATTCGCACACTCTGATCCCATAAAACCTCCACAATATCAACGGGCCCCTGCCAGGGGTGGTGAAATTTTGGGGACGTTCCCACCGGCACCATGGGGCAGTGCAACCAGGCTTTATCTCCAACACTCCACGGCTCTCGTGGCCGCTGCCTGCCGTACAATCTTTTGTTAGCGGCTTGTCGTCGTGCCATATTTTGCAATGCAGCCTCTCGGGCTTCCCTTAGACGGTCAAAAGCCACCTGCATCGGAGCAGGCACCGTCGTAGATTTCTCCCGTTTTCGAATTCCCAATTTCACAATAGCCGGCGCTTCCGGTTCCCGTCCATACATCAGAAAAAATGGCGAGTACCCCGTTGAGGCATGCGGGGCCAATCTATACGCGGCCAGCGTCGCTGCAACATGCAGATCCCAATCATCTTGAGCGGTGTTTACTTGGTGACAAAGCATGGACGTCAGCGTCCTATGCAGCCGCTCGACCATCCCGTCAGTCTACGGGTGGTATGGGGACGTCCGAATCTTTTTGGTCCCCAGCGAGTCACACACGTCCTTAATCAATTTCGATTAAAAATGTCTGCCTTGGTCAGTAAGCAAATGTTCCGGGGCCCCCTTATCTATTACGTATCCATTCAAGAAAGCCTCAGCGATCGACGTCGCTGACTGGTCTACTAGCGGCCATGCCATCGGCCAACGAGTTAAGTATTCCACCCCGACGAGCAAATATCTGTGCCCTCGGGGGGTGACGGGAAATGGACCCAGAATACCTAGTGCCACAATTTCGTTCACTCTCGAAACTTGAATCGATTGCAAAGGGACACGATATGGCCGTGCCGGCGCTTTCCTCCGTGCACATTCCTGGCACGCTTTTACATGCTGTTTCACATCTTTAAACATTCCTGGCCAGTAAAATTCACTCCCCACCATCAACGCGGTCTTCTTCTCCCCCAGATGCAGCAATTTCTCATGTACCTCGTTAATCAGTTTCCCCCGCAACACCTTCGGGACAACAATACAAAATTTTTGTGCTTCCACATCCCAGCGAACAAGCAACCCCTCCGTTAACATCAAAAATGGGTGATCCTCCGATCCCCTTGAACGAGAGGCACGCAGCCTCATCCTGGTCAGCGAGGAATCTTCCACCTGCAGTTGCTTCCACTGCTTCAATGACAACCCCAACAGTCCAATTTCTGCTCCAGGGACTATCCCTGGCACCCCTGAACCCGCTGCAGCGACCGTTTGCGGAACCTCCTGCAGCGGCGGGCCACAACACAGCGAGCCCTCTTTGCACCGACACGTCTCAGCCGGTCGCGGCAACCTCGATAAAGCATCCGCGTTTACATGGTGCGTCCCTTTCCTATGCTGGATCGTGAAAGAATACTCCTCAATCCAGCGAGCCATTTGCCCCGATGGCTGATCCACGCGCAGCGAGTACTGTAGCGCCGCGTGATCAGTGCGGATCAAAAATTCCCTGCCGTATAGATACGGTCGGTACTGGCGCACAAAATGGACAATCGCCAATAATTCCCTACGCGTCACACAGTATTTTTGCTCCGCTGGCGATAACACCCGGCTGCCATATGCCACCACTCTCTCGACGCCATCAACCATTTGTGACAAAACCACGCCTATGCGCGGTTTTGTCACATCCGTGTCAAGTATAAACTGCTTCGTAAAATCCGGGTATCCCAACGGCGGTGCGTCCGCCAGTGCGGCCCGCAACGCTTCAAACGATTTTTGTTCAGCAATCCCCCATTGAAATTTTACACCTTTCCCGGTCAGCGTATGCAATGGTCGAGCAATCGTGGCAAAATCCTTAACGAACCGCCGATAATACGACGCAAAGCCCACAAAGCTACGCACTTCCCCTGCTGTTTTCGGCACTGGCCATGTACGCACACACCTCGTCTTTTCCGGATCAGTGGCCACTCCTGACGCAC